AGAGGAGGAAATAGTTGCTTTTCAAGATGACTGGTAGGTTTTCTGTGGATCATGATATATTTGAATGTGTGACCACAGCCCTACCATACTCACAATTTTCCTTGAGGATAGTAGCATGATGAGACACCCCAGGTCTTGAAGTGCTATCAGTCAGCTCAGGTCAGTGATTTCTGTTTGATCACAAATATCAGAGGAGGATTGAAAATCCCCTACCATAAAACACACAAAAATCCACTAGTGTGGTTCCTGTTAATTGTTTGGAAAAACTAATGGAAGCATATGGAGCAGGTATATGCTCTGAGAATTTAAATTCTTCTTTTGGGTGGAGAGGGACGTATTAATGTTGGGTATCATTGTGTTAAGTTTTTCCTTTTCTTCCCTTGAATCTCCACCTTTGGGTGATGCTGCTTTTGCTAAGGATGTATTTATGCAAGGCTGCTTCAGGGATGATGTGAATATTAACTAAAGGGGACACCTGGTTAGAGTGCGGAATAGGATAGGATTCAGGGATGAAGAGATGATAACTGCCTGTAAGGACTATTATGTAGATTAGCAGATAATTTCAGAGAGCAGAACTAAGATATCTGAGTAGCAATTGCAGGTTGTTAGATTTGATCTCAACTCAAGGATGAAACAGAGAGATTTTTAAATCCCTAGTCAGCATAGTTGCATTACCCAATAAGCAAGGTAAGCATGGGTTTACTTGTGCTTACTTATTAATTTGTAGTGAAAACTTTCACATTTTGTCACCATGTTGAACATTCTGCTCTACATATGGCTGGCATCTGTTTCTCAACCCCACAGCAACTGCCTACAGAATGAAAGCTTCTTTTATAATTTACAATCCCTGACAGGGATGGAGTACCCAGTAAGCAAGGTAAGCACAGATTTATTTGTGCTTACTTACACATTTGTGGTGAACATTTTCACAATTTCACATGTTATCCATGTGAAACTGCTCAGTACAGATTAGTAAATAAGTACAACTAAGCCTATACTTTCCTTGCTGACTGTGTAATCTGCAACTGCTAGTCAGGAATTGAAGCATAGGTTGAGCAGTCACTTAGTAGGTAGAATTTTTACGTTGAGTAGAATCTTGATCACCATTCAGGGCCATTCCAACTCACTTAAAAATGTTATTAGATAAAACTCTATATAGATAGCTCCATGTTGTTGTTATGTTGTTAAGTGCCATCGAGTCGTTTCCGACTCATAGCGACCCCATGCACAGCAGAACGAAACACTGCCCGATCCCGCGCCAGCCCCACAATCCCTGCTATACTTGAG